CGCGTGGTTGACGTGGTGGTGCTGCAGGGAGCTGGCCATCCGCATCTGCAACACGCCAACAAGGCAACTTCTTAGTGCGACTGTCCAATAGCATCTCATACACAATCTCACCTACTGCAAACGGCAATCACCCAATACAAAGCTCTTCTTAGAACACGGACACATTTGACAAGCAACGAACGTGAATATTGTTTTTCTGATTCGACCATTAGGTTAAAATTAATATACAGTGTGCATTAAAAAGTATGTAACGTATTGGTTCTTGATATTTCGGATATAAACATGCATAATCGTTGTATTTTTTATTCGATTCATTCGTAATCGTGGTCGTTCTCAGGTCAATGAAAACGTACAGTTATTATAAAATGGAAACGTACAAAATTGTAAAACTATATGTCCTTATTTTTTGTAGAAACCTTGACACTCAGTAAAAATCAGTGTTTATAGTTTTATAATTTTAATTCAATTGTAGGTTACAAATATTATGATGAAAGTCGTAATATTGGCCGAAACATTTAATAAAAACGACGACAGAGATGAATTTTTGTTGTAATTTAAGGTCACATCAATATCTAGGTCATTAGCGACCACTATTGCATTTAACGTTATGGTAACAATGAAGATAACATGCTATGGTGATGATAGGGGGTGAAAGGACGAACACCAATACACCCATGTCCGAAATGGAACTCGAACCCGCAATCCTTCGGTCTGAGATCACTAGGGCACTACTGTCTTAACTATATCTGCCATCGGATCGGATTAAGATGAATGTTTGTAACCAGGATATAAGTACCGATAAGTTATGCATACATTTTGAGCATACATTTTATTGCTGATATAAATATCTGTAAAGTAAAATGTTAGAAAACGAAACACAGTTCTCAAACGTACAAGAAGCATTAATACAATTTAAATACTTGTAAAATCTTACGCACACACGGCAGCCTCTTAATGCAACTTTCATTGTAGCACATGAGAACGAACATACGACAAACTACATACTTCTAATTTTTATCGTAAACGACAAATTTGCGCGAGAAATTAGTGCAGAAATGCAATGGCCCTCCTTCGAACTTTTGACACACACTACAAGCAACATGCACAATCCAACACTTCTAAATCACTCGTGCAGCGAGAAATCTTCCAATGGAACATTTACTACAAGCACCTAAATTTTATTTCATGCATCATCACTTTTTTTAGAGAATTATATAATTTAAACTGTTCCATAAATCTTCGTTGTAATATTATTGCATTGAGGCAACAAATTTCAAACCCATGCGAAACACGCGATAAAGGTACTGTAGAGGCAAGGATTATCAAAGAAATGAAAAATCCTGACACACTTTTCAAAGGTGTGAGTCAATTGAGACAGTATGATAATTCATTGACGCAAGAATATCAGCTTGTTTGCAACGAAAGGGAAAACAATGACTAAGGAAAACGTCGTTATTTCTGTTATGGACATAACTCAATTTAGTTACTTTATTTCGGAAACAAAACAAATGAAACAATAAGAGACTTTACAATCTTATGATTATAAACAATCTTATGATTGTTTATAATATGAATTGTTTGTATTGATAATATTTTAAAGTAATAGTGAGTGTGAATGGTCATCGAAAACCACATAATGAAAAGAGCGGTGAAATTCCACCCGGTCGGCAAGTTATATAGTAGCCATTCCGACAAAAAAGCGCGGGCAACTCCAATGATCTCTGCCTCAGAGGCAGTCGGGGAAGCGTTGCAGACCCGCCTCCCTTGGCACACCTTGGGCTAGGCGGGCGCGGTGGAGAACGTGTTCGGAGGTGCAGGGTGACCGAAGCGCTTTGAACGGCAGGGCTTGGTGACAGTGGCTCGTGGCAGG